GATATCAATATGTAATACAACAAGCATTGTTAATTCCCTACCACTTTGTTTGTAACTCCGTACTGTCTGTGCTGTTCTTTTGCTATGTTGTAAAATGTTGTCTGTCTGTTAATGTTTTCCTCCTTTCATTTTTAAAAGAAAAAAAGAAAAAAGAAAAAAACACTAGCCATTCTCAACAGTGAACATAAATGTTCCAGCCTCAGGACCTTTCTAGAACCTTCCAGCCCATCTGATTTTCTGTGTATGGATTGTGTTGTTTTCTATATGGCAGTGTCCTCAACTGCTTCCCTCCTCCTATACCTCACAGGACCGGAGACCTCTGCCTTGACTGAGGTGAGGGCATGGGGATTTGGAGCTGAGTGACGGCCTTTCTTTAAATTGCAGCCACACAGCCCAGGGGACATAGAAGACACTGGGTACAGTCCATCTGGGCTTTTCCTGCCATTCAGGAGGGAACTGCAGGACCAGTGGCTCCTTGCTACTGAAAACTGTTGCCCCCTCTGGTTCCCATTCCATCCCACAACTTGTTCTCTTCCCTCCAGCCTGGAAGACCGAGGGAGCTGAAAGGAAAACCTCTCAGAGACATCCCACTGATACCATGGCGAGTGCACCCTCCCCAGGTACTCGTTTCCTCTGCCAGTTCTTGCTCACAAACTGGACTGAAATGGCACCAGTGAAGCTAAGCTGTCCTGTGGCGGAGTTGATGATGGGGAAGAGGAGCCCCAAGAAAGACCCATGGGTCTCCAAACCCTGGGTCTGTGGGGCTTCCCTCCCAACCCTCTCCTCAGGGCCAGAGTCCAGGTGCTCACTTCCTCCCTGTCCTGCCTCCCAGCCAAGGCCTTAGGTGGGGACGGACATCCTTGGAAAAGCAGAGGGTGGGGGAACGAGCAAACGGGACTGCAGCTGGAAGAGTGGGAGAGGAGGTGACAGTGACCTGCAGGGTCCCCTTGCCTGCCACCTACACAGTGTTCCTGGCTGACCTGAGGACACTGCCCATGAGGAGGCCACACCCTTCAGCTCTTTTCCTTTGGGGCCCACTGCTCTGAGTGGGTTAATAGTAACCCCGACTGCCATCAAACTGGACCCCATGTGTCCCTTTGCCACCTGCCATCTGTATGACTGGAAGCCCTTACCTCCTTCATCTGTCACATGAGAACAACTTTTCCCATGGTGTTGTGAGGGTCAGATATAACATGGACACGGTCAGGATAGTGCCTCGCACACAGTAGGTCTCTCTCCCCTCCCAGCACCCTGTTAATCTGAGGTGGGCACTTCCCCCTCATTTGGACCTGTGTGTGCCCACCTGGCCTGTGCTACCCATGATTCTCACCTGCTGACCAGGTGTGACTGCCCCAGGTGGAGACTGGATTCTAATTATCTCATAGAAAAGAAAAGTTTGAAACTCACACAAAAAGTCAACAACCCCCACTTACCCAAATCAGTGCCACCTTCTTTTAGTTCTGTTTTCAGCCCCCTAGCTCGGGTGCCCAAGTGTGTTCCTCAGTTCTTCTCCAGTCTGACAGAAAACTGTGCTGCCAGTAGCCAGGGTGAGAATAAAAGGGGATGGGAAGATCGGATGATACCTTGTCCCCAGAAGGCCCTGGAATTCCTGCAGGAGTGTGGGGCTGGTGGATTCCTCAGGATAAGTTCTTGTTTAGTAACTAGGCCAGCCAGGGGTCAAAGGTGCCTGGGGAACCAGGTGTCCTGAGACGTGGAGAGATCACAAGGATGACAGCAGGAGTCCACCTGCCCTTGCGCCACCAACTTGGAAAATCCCCTTCACTGCCACCCTTAGAGCCTGCATCAGTAAGAGAAATCCTCTTTGTGATAGTTATATACTCAATAGTGGGTGGACTGAAGCTTTACTTTTAAGTTTTAAAAAACACAGGCATATTATAGAATAGAATGTGAAAAATCTTAATTTATAGAAATTTTAATTTATATTTTGAGGGATTTTTATTTGACTCAGTGTCTCACTATGTAGTTCAGGGTGCACTTGGGCACACAATGTAGCCCAGGCTGACCTCAAACGTGCAGTGATCCTCTTGTCTCAACCTCCCAAGTACTGAGATTACAGGTGTGTGCCACCACACCCAGCCTGGATTCTTTTTTTGAGAGAGAGGTTCTCGTTATTGTTCCCCAGACTGCTCTCAAACTCCTAGGTTCAGGTGATCCTCCTGCTTCAGCTTCCCAAGTGCTGGGACTACAGGCGTGTGTGATCATGTCTGGCTAGGAATTTTTAAAGCATGTGTCTTCAAAGTAATGTTCAAAAAATATTGACCTATTAGTCCTTCATTCAGATCTTGAGCTTTCTACTTGCTGACATTGGTCAGTCACTTCCTGTCTGTGTTCCGTTTTCTTCTGCGAAGTAAGAACAACACCTCTCGTGTGTGTATACTGCAGGAAATACATTTACATTAGGTCCTGGTACACACATAAATGTATTCTACTCACTAATTCTTAATCTGCAATTCCATTACTTCCAAATCCTTGCAAAATACATACTTTTAAGACAGTAGACTGGGCTCTACCAAATTGAGTTTATTTATACCCATTACACTATTTATCTCACACAATGGGAACATGCATTCTGAGTCATTGTCAAAACATTAATGCATTTATTTACTAGGATTAATATACTGATATGCTCTGTTTTCCCTTTTTGAAACTTAGAGATCCTATTTAATTGAATATTTCAAAACAGTTAGCAAAGAGGATTTTGAGCGTTCTCAACCCAAAGAAATGATAATGTGTACATACCCTGAAGTATCACACTGTAGCCCGTAAGTGAATGAAAATGTCATGTGACAATTAACAATAAAATTAGAAATTATTTTTCAATGATTTTAAAAAGTTAAAAAATTCTGAATTCCTAAGCATCTCTTGGTCCTCAGAATTTAGATAAGGATAAAATATAAAATACAGTGACACCTCAGTTCGTGAATACTTCTATTTTAGAACAATTCAGTTCACAAACAGAAGCATTTGGAAAAATTTTTCTTCTGTTCCTGACTCCACATTGGGTGATAAACAGGACTGTGGCCAACTTCCCCAGAACTGTGGAATGAATTGACTTCATGAGCCAAGTTACCACTGAATATTAAATATATATATATATTATATTTAAATTATATATTTATTTATATATATCTGAAGTAATTCACAAAAGCAATACTCACCCCTACTATCTTTAATAGAGTCAGACATTGTCAAATCCATTTTCTTTTCAAAATGCTGCTCTTAACCCAATAAACTAATTTCAGAGCCCAAAGATGTGTTGAAAATCACATTGTGAAGACAGAGAACACAGTGTTTGATGCAGGCTGCAGTAGGTACATGATCTAGAGAAGCCATCGTTGGAACTTTCCCACTTTCCCTGGGTGGAGAAGTTCAATTTCTGATTGTGCTGAGTGTTAAAAAAAAATCACTGAAACAATTTATTTCTCTACAGAGCACCATGACACTGCCAAGCATGGCCACTCACATTCATAATCCCAGGTCATGGCAGGCTGAGGCAGGAGGATCAAACATTTGAGGTCAGCCTGGGCAACTAAGTAAGACCCTATCACAACATAAGATACAAAGAGCAAAGCACTTGACTAGCACTTGTCAGGACGGGGTTATATTCACAGAACAAAAATAAATAAATAAATAAATAAAAGCAGCATGCACTTGCCTGATGTGTTAGTCCTCCAGGCTGCATCACAAACACCTCAGGCTGGTGGCTTAAACAAAAGATGCCTCTTTTCCCATGCTTCTGGTAGACCAAGTCCAAGGTTAACGTGGAGCAGGGTCAGTTTCTGGTTTGCACAGTGCACCTTCTCACTGTGTGTTCATGGCCTTTCTCTGTGCAAGAAGATGGAGAGGGGGACAGAGATCTAGGGTCTCCCCATCTTTTATGAGGACACCAATCCTACTGATCAGACCCCTCTTACGACCTCATTTAATCTAAGTTACTTTACATCCTTAAAGAAATTTATCTCCAAATATAAGTACAGGACGATAGGGCTTCAACATATGAATTTTAGGCCACAACTCAATCCATAATACAGATGACTCCACCAAAATCACCCTATGTGATAGCTGCTCAGAAGGATGAACTTTGAAGCCTCTGTACTCGAGGCTATTCACACTCTACCACACTGTCTTCCAACTTCATTCTTCCTTCTTCCCAACTAGAGAGCAACAGCTTTATTAAGCACATCGTTGAATGTTTGCTGACCACAGTGAGCAAAGAGGATCTGCAGCAGCTGCTGACCCAAGATGAAGCCTGGGGCATTGTTAAGACAAAGGCTCAATTGTCCAGGTGAGCTCTAGGGGGAACCCCAACAATGCTACCCAGACCCTGCTGGGCCAGCCTTCTCCAGGAAGATGCACCTCCTCCAGAAAGCTTCCAGTGGTTGGGGTTGAGGGTGCCCCCTCTGAACAGTTCTTGAGAGATATTTCCTCCATGTCATCACTGCCAGTAAATGGCCTTGAGTTAAAGGTAGATGGTGCTCATGGTGGGCAGGATGCTTTCTGCTGTCTACTAGTAATGTGACCTTTGAAGTTACTTCTCCACGTTCTTCCTTCATTTCTTTATCCATTATTCTTTATTGTGAGAAAAATAAGATAATGCATGGAAAGTGCTTCACATATGACTCACACACAGTGGATGCTCCAGAAATGTTGGCTATTTAAAAAGCCTAGTGAGGAGAGAGCAGAGCCAAGCATCCTTCCCTTGATGTTAGAAGCCAAGGTGGACTTCCTTTGGGACTAGCCCAAAAAATCTAGACATACATTGCTGGGGATTCGAGTTTGGGGCATTTATCTCCCATCTGATGGATCATACAAGAACAGTAGGATCCTTCTGTGGTCAGGAGGTAGACTTGGATGGAGGAGAGGTAGATAGGGCTGAGCGGGACCCTTGCTATCTCTGCCAGTTCCAGGGCTCCAGGTTCATGTCTTGGAAAACACTGTCCTCTGCTCCATGGGACCAGACCTCCAATGTGAAAGCACTGAGGTGAAGGCTTGGGAACAAGATGTGAGGCAGAGGAGGAAAAGAAAATACAAGCACCCTTCCCAAAGACCCAGATTGACCTGTACCAAGTTCAGAGCCAGGACTCAGGATGCAGCAAGAGAAGAGGTAGAACAGAGCAGCAGTAAGAATGCTGGGGCCAAAGAACTGGAACCATATTGAGGTGAGATAGGTGCTGATGAAGCAAAGGATGGATGGCAAGCGCAAGGTCGTGAGTTTGGTTCCCGGTACCGGAGAAAAACCAAAAAAAAAAAACAAAAAACAAAACAAAAAAAAAAGCAAAGGATGGAGAGGCCATGGGCACAGCAGAGGATACATGAGGGGGGAAGGGGCCCTTTGCTCCCATTCTGCTATGACCCATCACTGACAGGAATAGAGGGCTATACGTCCTGCCTGGGTGCTGGGGAGCTCTCCACAGCCATTGAAACTCTCGTCTGTGCTACATAAAGTAGCCTCTGACCAACAGAAAGGCAGTTTGGCCAGCGACAACTTGGCAAGTCAGAATGGTCTGCTGCTGATTTTGTGTAACTCAGGAGTCTGAGGAAACTCAAAAGTCCTCCCCTAGAGTGTCACTGGCCAGCATGGATTCTTAGTGGCATCTCCTCTTTGAAGATAGAAGCCACAAAGGACTTGCTTGGAAGGTGGAAATCAGACATGTGCTGGTTCTGGAGCTTCTTCTCCACTGCTGATAACTGTTATCATTGCCCATTATCCTTCTTAGGGAGGAGGTTCCCACAAGCCCCACCAGTGTTACCAATTAGCTTAGGGTTATTTTGCTCAGTTCCTGTAGAAAGCATGAATTGGTAAAATGTAGCCCCTTTAAAGGTAACAGCCCTGAGCTTTGAATGCCAGTAACCACCAGCTCATCGAGTCAGGAGTCCTCCTCATTGTGCAAGCCAGCAGCTCCAGGCAGGTCTCAGACACACTTCAGACACCTTCAGTGTTACAGCTCTAGCTCCTGGCTACATTCAGCGCTAGGGGCCTTAAAGTTACCAGCTCCGAGAGCAGAGACTCAGAATGCTGTGCTCAAGATAAAAAGCACAAAAAAGGCAAGAACAGGCCCTGAGAAAGGTTTTGTTAGGACTTATTATAAGATGAAACAGCACACAAGCTGAATCCACTATGCATATGAAGAGTTGACTCATAAGAATAAAAGGTGGGATCAAGACTGTGCAGTGTTAAATTTTCTTTTGGGTTATGAAGATTGAAGGGACCCTCATGTATCATCAGGAGGAGCACTGTGGAGAGGCAGAATCATCTTGAAAAGCTTCAGCAGAGTCATCCAGATAGGCTTCAGGGTGGAGTCATCTGGCTTAAGTCCCACACTGAAGCTTGTTGTCACCAAAGTAAATATCTCCAGAGCAGCTTCAGGCACCTGACGTAGCCCAGTTACCACAAGGTGTTTGGTGGGGGTAGATAAATAAAGAAATACCTCTTGGGGTACATCAGGCCCATCCCCCAGGAGGCAAATAGTTTCTGTAGAATCCTGTTCAAATTCAGGTCTCTCTCTGTTTTGTTTTGTTTTGTTTTGTTTTGTTTTTGCTTTTTTTCTGGTACTGGGAATCGGACTCAAGACCTTGCGCTTGCCAGGCAGGTGCTGTGCCACTGAGCTAAATCCCCAGCCCCAAATGCAGGTCTCTTATAAGTTACCAATTCATATAGATGGGTCTCCGATTCTCTTGTCTTTGCACATGGCTGTGACTGCACACATATGAAGCTGTCACCAATGAAGGTGTCATGCTGCTCACCCTGAAGTTGGGGATGACAGCCACTGGGTCAGGTGTCAGTAAGATGGGGAGAGAATTAAGGGGGAGCCAGGCGTCTGCTTCCTGTCAACCGGGGTAGCAGCTGGACCTGGTGATCATCCACTGTGAAGGACAAAGGGCACCAGGAATTGGGGAAGAGCTGAGGGCAGAGCAAATTACACACACAGTCCTTCTAGCTCTGGGGTGCTTTTTTAATATTAAGTTCTCAGCATTAGCCAAACTGCAAAGTCTACAGACACAGCCCCAGACCATCCTTTTATTTGACACCAACTGCAAATGTGGGAAATTCCCCCATCCACCCACAAATCTGATGACATATTAGAACTTACTGAAGGCAGTTAGGACACAGTCACAGGTTATGATAGAGAAAGGACACAAGTTAAAATCGCCCAGAGGAAGGGACACATAGGATGGAATCTGGAAGGGGTTCAAGCATGACTGTCCACTGTCCTCAGGACACAGTGCAGTTCTGAATTTAATGGGTAGCAGTTCACGTGGAGGATGGCCAACCAGGGAGGCTGAACCTATGAAAGAGAAACTTACTCTGACGCATGTGAAACCAGCCAGAGAAACTTTGTTCGGGACCATTGCACTGGGAGAGAGAGATGAGGACCACACTGGATACAGTAAAGACCCCGGGAATTTACGGCCAAAAGGCAGAGTGAGGTGCACTAGAGAGCCAGTTCTAACAGGGACATTGAGAATAGGAGGTTCTTTGATGCTGCTTTAACAGAGTTCTTCCTAAAGGAAGGTCCAAGACTAAACACCAAAGGTCTGGAGTGGGAACATGGTCAGATATGAAGAGTGGGATTCTCATCACCCCAATTTGGTGGGACTCTTGCTAAGCATGGGTGATCCCAGCCCAGCAGGCAAAGAATGCACCTGGAAGGCCAAGGTCACAGCCTAGTTGGGAAAAGGCTGAGAAGGGCCTAACTGAATTTTGGTCAAATAAACAATTTTTAACAGCACAAGCCTCGGCGCCTTGGGTTTTGGTTGGAGCTGGACACATATGTCCTCATAGATGACCCTGTGTCTCCCTCCTCTCCCAGAAGTCAGTGCCTTTAATCTCCACTTCCTAAAGAGGTCCGAAGTGATCCCAAAATCCCCATGATATGTTCCATTCTTCACAGGGAGCATCTTTTATGAGAAATGTTTGAGAATAGAAGTATTTTAGAATTAGATTTTGTATGTTTTGAAATGTATTCATTGATACATCATGAGCTGTCTTGGGGATTAGACTCAGGGATAAACAGGAAATTCATGCATTTATGTTTTGTTTTGTTTTTCTTCCAGTACCAGGAATTGAACTCACAACCTTGCGCTTGCCAGGCAGGTGCTTTGCCACTGAGCAAAATCCCCAGTCCCGCGTTTATGTCTCTTGACATCTTATACACACATTGTGATGGTAATGTTACAGAATGCTTTTAGCCTGTCTGTATCTTTACTGTGATCTGACCCATGAGATTAGATGCGGAACTTTCCACTTGTGACATCATGTCAGTGCTCAAAGGGTTTCATATTTTAGTGTATTTCAATTTAGGATTTTTGGGTTAGAGCTGCTCAATCTGTATTGTCTTGTGGACAAATCCCAAGCAAACACATGCACTTCTAGCAGGTAGGACATTTCAGGGGCTGATTTCCCAATAGCTCTGGGCAAAACAAAGGCTTATTGTTGAGTGGGGTTAACTCTTCACTACACACTAGACAAGGTTCTCTGAATTAAGGAGATTTTTTCCTTCCAGTCCACTAGCTTTGTTCACCTACAGTGTTTGAGCTCTAAAAATATTTTGATAGTGATAGGATTGACCTTGAACAGGAAGGTGTCTTTATCAAATGCCTCCCACTACAGAGGTTTTAAGATGGCTTTTACTCATTGTCCTTTTTGTTGAATAAAAACCAAGGAGCGTCTATGATGTGTTAAACATGTTCGCCATTGAAGGAAAAATTCTGTACACCTGTAAAATTCTTTTCCATTTGATTTACAATAAATGCTGTGTGACTTATGCATAATCAATCTGCTGGAGCCCTTTTTACAAATGAAACAAGTGCCTTTCTTAATCACTTAATATTTGCTGTTTCAGGGAAGAAGCAGATAAACTACATGAAACTCTGAAGGAGCGCACAGCAGACATGGCTATGGAGGATGAGGACAGGCTCCAAAAAGTCCAGCAGACTAAGGAGAGGTTTTCAGCTGCATTTCCAAAGCTGAAAGAGGAGGTAGAAGAAGACATAGAAAAGCTCCGCGCACTTGCAGACCAGCTTGATCAGGTGCACCGGGGCTGTACCGTCTCCAATGTGGTGGCTGGATCTACCACAGCTGCCTCTGCAGTCCTTGGTTTGGCTCTGGCACCTTTCACAGCAGGTATTAGTGGGATCCTCACAGGAGCAAGGACAGCGCTGGGAGTAGCAAGTGGTGTGACCAGTTTTTCCACTAGCATAGTGGACTCCACAAACATATCTTCAACTGAAAGTGAAGCTAGGGGCTTGGTTTCAAACATCATGGACAAACTGAAAGGGTTCATACAGGAAATAGGTTATATCCCACCCAAAGTCATTTCCTCAACTGAATATTGGAGCCAATTTCTGGAAGACATTGGAAAGACCATAGATGTCATCAAGCAGGCTAAGGGTGACCTTCACTTAATATTCAGTGCCACATACAACATGATGTTTAGAAATATCTTGTTTGAAAGTGGTATGCCTTTGAATGTGGTCTTTCAACACTCAGGTCGGATCATGAAAATAGCAGAAGCCCTCCTCAGAGTTGTCAACGTTTTCTTCTTTGTGATAGATATGATCGATCTTGCAGGGAACTCAAAGCATTTGCAAGAGGGGGCAAAATCAGAGTATGCTGAAGAGCTGCGGCAGTGGGCTCAGGCACTGCAAAACCATTTGAAGGACCTGGAGGAGATCCAGAAATGGATGTCAGAGTCACATCAGTGACTCCCTCTCTTCAGCAGTGCAGAGGTCAGGGGAGATGTGCTGGACAAAGCTTGAGCAATAGCAAGGTATTTTATTAGCAAGCAAAGAGAACTCACCATCATAAGGTCTGTCCTGGCATACAGGAGGGCAAGAAACAAAGTCTTATCCCAGTCAAGTTTGCCTTTTTCATAAATCTTAGCTCATGTTCTTAAATTTGAAGTGAATCCTTGCTTCCTATCTAAAGGCCATTCTATTCAAGACTACTAAAAATAAGTTCTCATGTATTGTTTTCTGAGTCGATTTGATGATCATGTAACCTGATAGTCTCACACTTGGCCCACATCTGTGGGTCTGATCCGCTTCCTCCCAATTCGCGTGCATTGCTGGCACTAATCGGGAGCATGCACCTCAGCAGTGTTACTAAGATGTATCTGACTCAGTAAGATGTGTGTGCGTCAGCTGTGTTAAGAGGTAAAAGATCAAACTGCACCTTAATCCTAATCATTAAACTATGAATATGGCTAATACTAAAAAGCCATTACACAGCTCCTTTATGACACATTGCATGTTTTTTAAAAAAATATGTCATTGTGTTGTTTGATCAGTTGTATTTGGAAAATAATTTAATAGTTGTGCCACACATGATTTTCTTATAAATTCTTTATTGTCTTTTAGGGATATAAATATGTTTTTACCTTTATAAAATATACAATACACTTGAAATGTGAATCAAACAAATAGATAAGATTTCTTAATTTTTCTTTACTTAGTTTTGATTGAAAAAGAAATAAAGGGGCTGGGGATTTAGCTCAGCGGCAAAAAGTGCCTGCCTGGCAAGCGCAAGGTCGTGAGTTCGGTTCCTGGTACCGGAGAAAAACCAAAAAAAAAAAAAAAAAAAAAAAAAAAAAAAAAGAAAAAGAAATAAAATGTTTTCATGTGTGTAACATGGTCAGCCTTCATCTATAAATAGATAGATGATAGATAGATAGATAGATAGATAGATAGAAAAAGTTATCTATATATTGATATATAGATAGCTAAGATAATTGTACTACTAATTTCATTGAAAGGAACAACTAGTTAGTGCTTATATTGCTTGATTGATTTTGCATACCTATGTCTGGTAATCTGAGCAACTACTTAGTAGATAACAATATGCAATATAATATCCAATGTTAATCTCCTATCATCTTGTTTTGAAATCTGTATCATTTTTATTGTTTTTTTCCCTTTAAAATAATAAAAAAAACCTTTATCACACAGCATGGCCTCATTATTTCTAAAGAACTACATTAAATTTCCACTCTGATGCAAAGAATAACATTTTTTCCTACATAATTTACCAATAAGAGGTTATATTTATCCAATGACAAAATATGAAATGACATAAATAAATCTCCATCTAAATTTGCCAGTGATGTCTTCCTTTCCTATCTTTTTTATTTTATGAAAAAATAAAACAAAATTCCATAAAAATAATAACAATAATAATTAGTACACCATATATCATAACTTAAAAGTAGAGTATAAGATATAAACAAAAAAGACTCTTACAGAGAAGAAACAAACTGTCTTAAAAGTTAATAAGATGCATTAAAAATAAAGTAGACATGGTTCTCCACATTGAATGTACTTCTTTGTAGATACACTCTCTCCATGGTCAATGCCCAAATTTTGAATTTTCAGAGAGCAGCACTGTTTGAAATCTCAAGTATTTAGCATGTCTGCTTATCCTTGCTCAAAGATGATAGTCATGATACAATTCACATGAACATAAGCCTGTGTATTAGTCAGCTTTCTGTTTATAATCAAATACCTGAGAAAACAACTTAAAGGAGGACAGATTTATTTTGACTTAGAGTTTCAGAGGACTCAGTCCATGGTCAGCCTAGCTCCAGTGGTTTAGGACAGTGTGAGGCAGAAATGTACGGACAGAGGTACAGCACAGGAAAGCTGTGAATCTCACGGCAGCTGGGAGGCCGACAGAGGAAAAGAGCCATAGAGGAAGAGGTCGGGGCAAGACAAAGACACTTCCTCACACACTGCTTTCAATGTGAAATTGCCTCTTATGCTTCCATTACCTCCCAAAAATGCCAATGAATCATGATCTCATCAATGCATTAATAGAGTAATGAAGTTAGAGCAGTCATGATCCCATCACCATCTGAAAGCCTCACTTTTAAACCCATGAGACTTCTGGGTGTGTAGTAAAGAGAGTGGTTACTTATTACCTTGCATGTGTTAAACATGTGTAACTTCATCACTACAAACTTTTGCATAACATTAAGAAAAAGCTGTGACACACAGCGGATTTTACCCTCACAGGTATGAATCTCTAGTCCTAAGCACCCAACAGAAACAAATAGAATCCTGATTGGCCAGCAATCTAGGGGAAATTGTATGTTAACAATTTTAAAGACAATTTAGTGTTTGTATTACCAACAAACTTAACTTATTTGTCAAGGATGTACCTAAGTCATGTGAACTAAAAAGCATTTGGGTTGATTTAAGGGTTTTATTTTATATGAGCACTCGGGTATATAAGTCAGTTTGGTACCATCCAAATGATATACAAACAGAAACACATGTGAAGATAACATATATGAAAAGATACATAAAAATAGACCAAAAAACCAAATCCCAGCACTTGGGAAGCTGAGGCAGGAAGATCACTGGGAGTCTGAGCAAGCCTGGACTACATAATGAGTTCATGTCCAGCCTGAACTATGTAGCAAGACCTTGTCACCAAAAAAAAGAAAAATGAAAAAGTACAAAGATTTTGTAGATTTATTTAGAATCGTCATTTTCCAGTTTTTAAAAAAGTTACACTGTTGACCTGATTAGCTTTTCCATTGTGCTAAGCGTTCCTTAATCTTAAACTTGCATTTTAAAACCCTTCTTAGTAAAATAAAGTAGAAAATACATATCTCCAACACAGAACTTTACTGAAATAATAGGAAATGTAAAGGCTCAGAGAAAGCAAAGTTTTTTTTTGTTTTTCTTCCGGTACCAGGAATCAAACTCACGACTTTGCGCTTGTCAGGCAGGCACTGTGCTGCTGAGTTAAATCCCCACACCGAGAAAGCAAATATTTTAAAGGTGAGGTTATTATGCAGATTTAAATTATGATCCATCTCTATTTTCTAGGCGGAAGAAGGAAACACCCTTAAAAGCAGAAAGCTGACCCAGCAAGAAAGCTGCTGCCCCCCACTGGGATGGGGTGAGCTTTAGCACGGTGAGAGAGGCGGAAATGGGAATCCAGATGCCCTATAGGCCCTGGGAAAGCAAAGGGACAGAAAGCTTGCTCTGGCTGCTCAGATTTGGAGATGCGCCTTGGGCAGGCAGACTGTGAGTCCAGCTGCCAGATCCCAAAGTACTGAGTGTGTAGCGTAGAGGTGGTGCTAAATTACATTTTAAATGTTGGTGACCAGCTAATATTTAAAACTTGCATACGCCCACAGCAGCTCACTCACAATCCCTGCTCACACTTAGCTTCATGGACCTGTGTGTTTTCAGCCTCATCTTACGGGACTCCAGAGTGTTTGTTTCTTGCAGCCTTTTCTCAGTGTTTTAAGGCTGATATAGTACTCTCTAGCATGACTGAGCTCTACTGTCTATCTAATGGTAGGACATGCTTGGACAGCTCATTATTTCCTTCCTATTTTGTGTTAAAGACAAATCTGTCCTGAACACCTCTCTTCCACCCTTACACACTTTTTCTCCCTTGCACACTTTCACTGTCAACAGTGGGGTAGAATCCTGAGCCACGCAGCCTGGAAAAGGCTATGGCTAAAAACAATTTCAATTTGGAAGACATCAGCTTGGTTCAGTGCTCTCCTAAGCTTTGCATTTTAGAAGCCGTGTATATTTGGGGAACAGAAATATAATGAGGATTTTTTAAAAAGCCAGTAATAATTAGCATTACAGCTGCATAGAATGTACATATATGTAATTATGTGGCTCTGCCTTTGTCACCAACTCGTGTGGGTTCTTGCTTCAGTGCCAATGGAAATTGAAACTGAAGATTCAGCATGGATTTAACACATTCACAAAAATCTTTCATTGCAAAGTAGGAGAAGATGAGAAGGGGACACAAAGCCCTGATAAAGATCAAGCTGGTCTCTTAGCAAAAGAAGTAAGAGAAGATAGGAAAGGGTTTCATCATGAAGAACTGACAGAGGCAGCACTCCAAAGAGTGGGATCAAACTGGCCTGCTCTGAAAAGAACAGATAAGAGGTTTCTAGGGCGCTGTGGTAGCCTGGGGTCTGGTGATCATTATCTCAGTCCTGGTTTTGTAGCTCTGAAGGAATCTTTGTGCCCTGGGGGCAGTTTGGTTCCTAAACGATGACTCTGTTTGAGGCTCTGCTAGAATCCAAGGTGACTATCAGTTTGGGGCCATGCAGACTTCTGGGTGTAGCTGAACAGCCTTATAAATCTCCTATCTTGCTCTTGAAGGGGGATGAGATAGGCCAGGTAACCTAGGGCTAAGAAATCTTGCTGACCACCGTTTGGGCAGACGTTAATTTAAGGGACTGCCATGCCTATATGCAGAACTGAGAAGGATCTGACTCAGAATTTCACATGAGAGGCAAACTTTGTTCTGCCAGTAGTCACTCGTTGGGCATCTGTAAGTCCAAGTGAAGAGTCATAGTTTTTAAGAGAAATCACTTCCAAATCTCTGGTTTCCTCATAGGAAAGATAAATCATGCTTT